TTCAGCAGAAGCTAAATAGCAATACTGGTGGCTTCATGCACCAGTGACTTCACAAGAGACCTCCATCGACAACGTTAACTGAGTACTATAGGCAACTCTAAAAATTTATGAGGACATGCCGTTTTATTTAAGCTACATGAAGTTACTAGAGGGCCCGACCCATAGAGCATTCTTCATGAAGATGACCCCTGATCGTAGGGTCAATTTTTTACGACAGCAGGGACCATTGATTTTATTAAGTTATCTTTGCACTACTTGTATTTATTTTCCAGTAGGTTTATCAGATTTCTGATTTCAATGTTTTTTCTTTTTCTTTAGAACAATGTTAATGCTATTTTGGTTGCTTGTCTTTTCGTCGTACGCTTTGTAATTCGTTATTCAAAGTTTATTAAAATTTTTTGATTCATATGTCTTATCTGAAAATAACACTTGTTCAACATGGATCCACAAATAGAGAGACACAGATGGAGAATTGTGGCAACAATATGTTTGATGTACGAGGACTATAAATCATACGTAGATCTGTCTCTCTGCATGACATCATCTTTTATTAATGATAAATGGGTTGGGGAGCTACTTGAAGAACAACCTACAGGATTCAACAGCATGTTTTTTATGACACATCCCATATTTATAAATATTTTCGATGAATTGCATATGAATTATGAACTTCATGGCTCCTCTAGAATGATAACCAAAAAGTATGTTTGATGTACGAGTACTATAAATCATACGTAGATCTGTCTCCCTGCATGACATCATCATACATTAATGATAAATGGGTTAGGAAGCTACTTGAAGAACATCCTACAGGATTCAACAACATGTTTTGTATGACACATCCTATATTTATAAATTTTTTCGATGAATTGCATAGAAATCATGAACTTCATGACTCCTCTAGAATGAAAACCAAACAGGTTTTGAAGGCTCTTGTTAGTTTGTCATCAAAGATTATTAAGTCAGAGGATCCAACATTTGAGAGAACTCCAATAAAAATTGCAAATGACATGTGGTATATATCATTTTTAAGCTAAATCTTTTTACTCATTATATTCAGAAGTCAAAATGAGTAGTGCAATTCATACAACTTTCTTTAATTTGTCAAAATTGTATTGGAGTGATCGATGGAACACATATGGATACACGTGTATCCAATAATGAAATGGTTGCATCCATTGGGTTGTGTAAATCACCAACATAAAATGTGATTGTCGTATGTGATTTCAACATGTGCTTTATTTTTGTTATGACTGATTGAGAAGACAATGCATATGACAGTTGTATATTCGCTTTTGTCACAAGAAATCGACAACACAACTTCCCTCACTCACCTCCAAGTTTGCTCAACTATTATTCATACTATTAGATATTTTTTAAGTTCATTACTAATTATTATATTTGTGACAAATAAATATTACTTGGTTGACGCTGGATATCCCTTATAAAGGGGGTATCTGAAACCATTTCCGGATACCAAATATCACATTCCTCACTTTGAAAGATCTAATAATGCTGCTCGTGGGAGGAAAGAAATGTTTAATAAGAGACACTCGTCCTTATGCGTTGTAATTGAAAAAAGTTTTGGAATGTGGAAGAAAAAATGACTTTTCCGAAGTAGGTGCAGATTGTAGTGGCCACAATGACTCTCTACAACTATATTCGACGCCATCATTCACGAACTGACGTAGACTTCAACATGACTGACGATCATTACTTACACGTCCCGCCTGAAGCATTTCAATATCACATAGGACAATCTATACCACAGGCAGAAGGTGAATCACAAGAAGGTTGCACCCAGGATGGCGAAGGTGCTGGGGAAACACTTGAATTGAGAGAGCAGATTATAGATGCCATTGTTGGATGTTGAGTGGACCGATTCTTGTTTATGCTATACAGTTCATGATTATTTATGTTCCTTATATTTTTAATATTGATTATTTGGGTGTTTTACAATGTTTGTAAGTGTTTTTTTTTTCGTTTAATTGGTTTGAGATGTTCATGATGAGACGTTTGACCTTATGGGTTTTTCTAGATGACCTGTTAGTCATTGTTGGTTGTTGTCACATGTAAAATTCTAATAAAGACGACAAAGTTCCTCTCTTCTTTTTCGATGCTGCGGTTTTTGAGATTCTTCTAAATGACCTTTTTTGGTGATATGCATATGTCACACGAGCTTGGTATTTTGTGGGTTAAAGACAACCAAGAACTCTTTTTTTACATGATTTGCTGTCCTCTTATAGTGATAGATTTGTTAGTTGGTATACTGAGTTCTCTAAGGCCTTACGGCTACACAAATCATATTTAATTACTTATTTTATCAATTTCTATTTGTTTATTTTATAGAGTTCATGTTTTTTTCTGTTCCTTATATATTTGATTATGATTGTTTGGGTTTTTTTAGATGTTTGTAAGTATTTTTTTTCTTGTTTCATTTCTTTTGTTTTTTCTTTTGGTGGGTTTGAGAGTTCCATGATGATATGTTAGACTTCATGTGTTCTTCTGGATGACCTGATTGTCTGTATTGGTTGGTGTCACATGTGAAATCCTATTGAAAGCAACCAAATTCATCTTTTTTTTTTTGGTGATACTGTTTTAGAGATTTTTTGTATGACCTTTTTTGGTGATATGCATATATGACACACACTAGCTTTGTATTATGTGGGTTCAAGACAACCAAAAATCTTTTTTTGACAAGGTCTGTTTCTAGTGACATATTTGTTGGTTGGTATAATGAGTTCACTGAGACCTCACACCTGCTTAATTATTTTTGAAGAAAATTTCCACTTGTGTTATGAAAAGTGCCCGCGGAGAATCACGGAGAAGTGTTACTTCTTCTGGTGGGCAGACATGTTGGCAGATTCTACTGCCGAGTGATCGAGAATGGATAGTATCTCTAGAGGACGGTCAAACTCGTGACACATGCCGTCTTCATTTTAAAAATAATATTATCATATTATTAAATGTTATTTTAATAGTCTTTGTCTTTATTTTAGTAATGATGATACTTACTATTAAGTGAGGTTTTTTTTTTGCAATGGTTTTAAATGAATTTATGCATTTAAAGTATCAAATATATTGTTATGACAGTTCTGCTGCAAACAACATTATTACACAGTGACAAAATAATCATTTGTCCAGAAACAACCGTGCTGCAATTGTTTTGAAACATCAACAAACAAACAACCAGTCAGTTTATCTGCAGCAGCTTCTGTGCAATAGCTTTCTGAGCTGCACGTGTTGCGCAACAACTTATTAATAAGCTGCAGCTGCCCCTAACAGACCCTAAGACAAACTTGCCCAGAAAAAAGGCGGGGGGACGTAGTTGCCAATCGAGATTAGAGGTGAAATTGTCAAGCAGGGCTCAGGGTGAACTCATTAGGCCGAGATCATGGTGGATTCACCATCCAGATCCACAAAGGGGCTCTCGTTAGTGTAGTTGAAGGTTGTCTTAGGATTACTCACACTTGCCAGATTCAAGGCTCTTACTCACAAGAATCAAGGTGGAATTAATTGACCTAGGAGGATATGTTGGCTAAGTTCATAAAGAGCTCATAAAATGTTACCATGGGACTCGTTAGAACGACTTAATCTGATTACTTCATATGCCCAATAAGCTAGTTGACGGCTACTACTAGGGGAACTAGTGATTTATCCTTGCGCGATAATCGACCATTAATCGGAGTCCAAGTCTCTACTTATGCTACACACATTTTTTATTTGGTATTTTCTTCTTATAATTGTAGCTTACTCTATAGCTTTTCTGTAACATCAAGATTCTAAATTCTTGTCTTTTAAATAGGGGACCTTGAAATGTGCTAATGATTCTAGGTTTCTTTTACATTGCAGATTGTTATTGAATTTTCCCGTACTCTCAACTCATCTCTATTTCATTTTCTCTGTTTTTATTGTATCTTTTTGTTAAGTAAGGTTATGGCATAGCCCACAAACAAAGTAGGATCCAACAAATAGGACAAGTAGTTTAAGAGGTTTTTAGTTCTATCCTCATCACACTTCTATAAATAGCCATGATAGGGTGAAGAAGAAACACATAAAAGAGTAGAGCATATCTCTTTGATTGGAAGGAGAAGAAATTAGGTGGGAGAAGAAAGATTTACTAAAACTTAGCTTATTTCTATCTTAAAAGATCTTCATGATGTTATGCTCTCATAATCATTAAACATTCTTGGCCACTGAATATCTACTCAATGTATTCGTCAATATTTATTTACTGCTGCATGTCATAGTTGTCCAAAGCAATGTTTTAAGATGCATTTTATACAAATGTTCGTGTTGTAGTTATAAAATTATTAATTATATTTTATGATTAGTATAATTATAAATTATTTGTCATACATCAAATATCCACTATTTTTTTCAGTAAAGGGTCCATTATCTATAATAAATATCAGTGGCTCATTTAAATCATCCGCTTAGGATGCGTTCAATTGAAGTCAGGGACTGAGGTGTTAGAGCAAGTAATTTAAATTTATTTTGCATCAATTTGGCTACTAGAATCTGCATCGTTCACATTGATATTCACAGTAAGCATGACATGGCCTATAAAGTATTTCATTGCATTACATATAAATTTAACATCCAGTATACACTGCGGCAATATCACGTGTTTACTATGTATTTATATACATAGAACTTTGGTTGAATTCAAGCCTAAACTTTAACCCTACCAAAATGTCGCTGGTAGTCTTTGCGGGTCTTTTCTCCGGCCAACTGAGACGGCCTTTTTGAAAATGAGATGAAAAGTTGTAAGAATATTCAGACACTGCTTATGAAGACTTAGATGAGGTGTATCTTCAGTAAATCAAACAGCGGGTGCTTTAATTTCTTAATATGTACCAGAGAGCCTTATATTTCTTCCTATATAATCAAATGTTATAATTCACGGTGCTTTAATTTCTTAATATGTACCAAAGAGCCGTATATTTCTTCCTATATAATCAAATGTTATAATTCATTCCGTCATTTTTGTTTTTTAGACAGCCGAAATGCCTGATTTCTACGCAAAAGGAGAGTACGATTTAAGTGGTTTTGCTGTTGGTATTGTGAAGAAGGATTCGTTAATTGATGGGAAGAACATTAAGTCTGGTGATATTCTACTCGGCTTTCCATCCAGTGGTGTCCACTCCAATGGTTTCTCGCTTGTCAGAAGGTTAATTGCCAACTTGCTGTTTATTTTTATCACCGAAACCGTCAAATTTTTATAACCGTTTTTTTTAGAACACTGTTTGATAAATTTTTTATTCAATTAGGGTAATATCAGAGAGCGGTCTATCTTTGAGTGACCAACTCCCTGGACATAATGGACCATTTACATTGGGGGAAGCCCTGATGTCTCCAACTGTTATTTATGTTAAGCAGGTCTGTCACTGGACCTTTTTCGTTCAATATTGTTTATTAATACATGTTTCTGAGTTCCTAGGATGATATTATGCACAGGTTCTAAACATTATAAGTATGGGCGGTGTCAGAGGAATTGCGCACATTACTGGTGGCGGTTTCATTGACAACATCCCAAGAGTGTTGCCCCCTGGCCTTGGGGTCGATGTCTTCAGAAATTCCTGGAATGTGCCTGCTGTGTTCAAATGGTTACAAGAGGTTAGAAAATATGTTTCTTAAAATTTGGTTTTAAATGCCAATGTTATTGAATAAAACTGCAATGTGTGCAATTTACATGAACTTAAGAATTTCTTTCTTGTTGCAGGCTGGAAGGATAGATGATACTGAGATGTGGAGAACGTTCAACATGGGTATAGGTTTAGTGGCGGTTGTCACCCCCGAGGCATCAGAGAGGATTCTTGCAGAGTATGATTCTGTTTACCGAATTGGTGTTGTGGTCAATGGAGATGGCGTGAAGTATGTGTGAAATGCTTCCATTTTTTTTTCCTTTTTTTGAATAAGAATAAGATCTTTTTGTTTTCTTTTTTAAAATAAGATTTTATTTATTAGTGTTTTTATTGTTGGGGTTTCATTGTGCTTGGTTCGATTCTAAATGATCATGTGAAACCTTATGGGAAAAGATAAGAGGCCTTATGATTTTGGACCATGCATTTTGTACTGATGGATTTTTTTTTTTCCTGCTTTGCTTTTTAGAAATTTTGTGCTATTTTCTCACGTGAGTGGCGGTGGTGAGGTAAGACTTTGCTTACTAAATATCCTCATCAGCTGCGTTAAAGTCAGTTCCGGTCCTCTATGTGATTGGTTAGATCTAAGCCATTGGAAGTGGGTTGCTTATATGGCTATCCTTTAGTGAGATTCTGATCGCATTAAAAAGTATGATATTAATCTGTTCTTCCTTAATTTCTATGTTATTTTTAAATAAGTAAATGTGAAGACATAAATTTTATCTAAATTGAATTCTGCAGGATTTCGATCTAAGATTTTTATCTTTTAAGTTTGTTTGCACTTATTATACCTTTTATTTGTATTAATCCTGTCAATTGTATCGGTCAAATGGTTGTTTGAAACCCACACACTCAGAAGATGAAGGCATTCCTTCAGTCTTCATCCTCTCGGTCATGAGAATCCTCTTTGTGAGAGATTTCCCATCTCGTGCTTTGCAAACAGAGGTGGGAATCTTGTTGCTTGGTGCGATAAGGCATTGGTGCACCTCTTCATCGTTGGTATACCTTAGGTTTCCCATGAGTTGCTAGGATGAGCATGATTTTGTCATCAGAATAGATTGGGCCTCATTTTGTGCATGTTTCCACATTCATATAATTGTGTATATTGACATGATTTTGAATGTTGCATATAAATGTCATTTTTTTTAACATTTTGTCGATTCCACATTATTGTCCTGAACGACTATCATTTCATTGGCTTGACCGATCAGCCACCACCAACTTGATAGCTTTGACCGACCATTCTCCATCAATTAGCTGGCCCGACCAGGTCAACCGTTCCTCATCGATTGTCCGTCTATAACTGTTCGACTAACCATTTTCGTCAACTCGACTGATCGACCACCACCGACTCGATCGCTTGTTCTACATTCTTTTGTTGATTGGTTGTACCAACTCGATCGATCACCAACAAAGAATTGATCCCCACTTTTATTGTCTCGACCAATCAGCTGCCACCCGCCCGATCGTCTCAACCAACTGTCCTTCATCGATTGGTTGCCCTAGCCTGATTGATCATTCCTTATTGAGCAATAGCCTATGTTGATTCGATTGACCACTTTGTTATGCTCGACCGATTGGCTGCTGATCCCTGACACAATGAGTGCGTGCTTAGTGTGTAATTATTTCAATTTCAATCTCAGAAGACAGCTCCAAAAAACTTAATGCTATAAAGGTTTTACAATGTTGCGCCAAAAAACTTAATGCTATAAAGGTTTTACAATGTTTAATTCTGAATCGAATATTATATACCAAATAATTCTCATTTTCTTTACATAATTTAATTTTACACATTAGGGATACAATGCAAGTGCACACATGGTTTCAAATAATATATGACTTTCTTTTTGAGCCCTTAGTATCAATCCCACGAGGAAGGTGAAAACTCTTTTATGAACTTAGTAAAACTCTACTTAAAGTCCAGAAAATTATTTAGGAAATAAGGATGCAAGTTTATATGTAAAAAGAAATAACTAATTCCTACAAATCCTATTTCAAAGCTTAAACAAAATGCTAAGTGTTTCTAAACTAGGTAAATAGAAAAGAGTTCAAATTATGTAAAAGTCTTTCCCCTTATAATGAAATGGTAATTAGCGTAGGAATCAAATGCATAAGGTTTTAAATAAAGTTTTGTGACAAATAGGAGCAATCCTATTCTATACTCTCTTTCGAGTGCATAAAGAGCATTGGATAACCTAGAGTTAAGTTCCTAAATCTAAGATTATGCTGGGTAGGTTCTAGCCTATCACCCTAGATTACCCACTGTGCCCTCTATTTAGGACTAATCGGTTCTTAAGTTCCAAACTTTAAATCAAATTGGTTAAGATTTTAGCCCGTCACCCTAGAATCACCAATTTACACCCATCAAAACATATCTCCCTATCTATTTGCACAAACTAATGAGCTACCTTATTACCCACCAGATTAATATGATTCTTACTAGTTGAGGAATATTTAACCCTCAATATATAACCCTCCCGGGTCATTATGGCTTCACAACAAATTTTAACATATCGATTGTCCATATTGAATATATAACTTAAGTACAAATTAATAAGTCATCACAAGTATGAAATAAGAGAAATCTTAAATAATTCTAACCCTACACAAGATTAATTTTTATTGCATGGAGAAAGATAAAGAAAACTACTCAGATCTCATGAAGATAACACAATAAAACATAATTTATATAAAAATTCAGGTTCACACAATAAATAAAACTAAAAAAAAATATAAACTACTTATCTCAAACTTCTCCCCAAGTAAATCCTCTAAAGTTCCTTTGATGATTTCTCAACTCTTCTTACAATTCCACTCCAAGAGACACACACAACACACACACACACACACACACACACACACACACACACACACACACACACACACACACACACACACACACACACTCCTTTCTCTTTCTTGGCCTCTCTTGACTCTTTATATGATAACTCTCAAAATCCTCAAGATTCACTTCAGATGCTCTTTCACAATTCATCCAAATTCAATGCATAGTCATCAAAACCGATTCTGGCGTCTGGGCACCAACCTTCTAGAAGCCCAGAATAGCTGCCTAGTGCCAGATCATGGTGCCATGGCGTTGGGCTCTTTATTTTTATGTACTGGTCTGGCGCCTAGGCACCAATTCATTTTGTGCTATCTTGCTCCATTTGATCCCGTTTTGCTCCGATTTTGCTTCAAGTTTTCTAAAATTTCATCTCTTGTACCTATAACAAAAAACATGCAAAATACCTTCTATTAAAGTATAATATCATTAAAAAAGAGTATAAAATGTATATATAAAAATATCACATTTTAGGCATGTTAACTGCCATCGGTTCAATCGGCTTGATCGGGCTTTCCCCCACACTGTCCCGATTGACTGTTGGCAATTAATCGACCACTCACACCGGTTGGATTGACCACTTTCTTCGACTCGACCGATCGATCACCATCAGCCCAATCGGCTTGACCGACCATCCTCCGTTGATCAGCCGCCTCGGCACGATCGATCATTCCTCTTCAATCGACTTCCATGCTGATTCGATTGACCACTACTATCGCTTCCACCGATTGGCTTGATCAACCATTTTTCATCAATCGGCTACATCGACGTGCTTGACTGTTCCTTGTCGATTAACCGCCCATGCTAGTTCTATCATCTACTTCCTACTGCTTGACTGATCAGCCACCACCGATCTGATCGGTTCGACCGACCATCCTCCGTTGATTGATTATCCTGACCTGATCGACCATTCCTCATTGATCAACCGCCCATGCCTTTTTGATATACCACTTCCATTAGCTAGATCGATTGGTTGCCACTAGCTCGATTGGACTATCTGACCATTCATCGTCGATTGGACATCTATCTATGCTAGTCCAAACAATCACCTCTATCAAATCAATCAATTGACCATGACCAATATGATCATTTCGATCGACTCCACTTAAATCCTGCATCATTGTATGCTTATCTCATATTGTTTGCATGAATGCATTTGCACTTTGCACCTATGGTGCACCTGTGAGCATATGCTCTCAATATGCTCATAGTGGGGTTCTATGCCCCACTTTGGTACTTTACTTCACGCCTATATCGTGCAATCTGCTTGTAGCCATTATCACATCTCTAGTGCTTGCATTTACATTTTTCCCTTCTGCATATTGTCTGGCATGGCATCTTGCATGTTCATCACTTGCAAGTTTGAGTTTGCTCGAGTGACTATCCTCATACCCTCACTTCCCGACACTCACTTGTCTTCTTCAGGGATGGCTTGCACATCAAGCCTAACCATTTGGGATTCTCCTCTAATAAGAATCATACCCTTTTACCTCTTATAACACCACTTCAGACTGTCGTATGCTTCTTCTCGACCAACTGCTCCTTGCACACTCACTCCCGACACTCATGTATCTGTCTAGAGTCATCCTATGAATTCTTTTCCTTCTCTCAAAATACAAACTAACACTAAAAATAAAATAAAATAAAATAAAGAAAAGGTGGCCGGCGGTGGCGGTTGTAAATTATGGTGGTTGGTTGCTGGCCCCCTCTTTTGGAAAATCTATGTCTTTTCTTATAAAAATCCAAGTGGTGTCTTGGTGTCTTTTCAAAAATGTGTCTATATTCAATGAATCTTCTAGAAGTTTCAAGTGGTGTCTTGGTGTCTCTTCAAAAATGTGTCTCTATTCAATGAATCTTCTAGAAGTGGTCTCCTCAAAAGCCAATTGAAAAAATTTTCATGTACATGGGCTATTTCCCACATTTTTATCAAGGGTTGCTTCAAACTCCTCTTCAAAATTATGCTTCAATTAATAATTCTTCAAGTAACTAACTTTGGCGCTTAGGCGCAGATGCTCTGGCACTTAGGTGTTAATCCTGTGCGCATAGGCGCCCCAGTTCATTTTTGCTCCAAATTTGACCATTTTTCACTCCTTTTAGCATTTTCCATCCATTTGATTATACCTACAGAAAACAACAAAAATTTCTTTCATTAAAGTGCAATATCTCAAAAATAGGTATAAAAATGTGTATAAAAACACTATTTATTTTAGGTGTATCAATAAGCCGCTCTTGGGGGCTCAAGAGACACTAGTATGAGGACCCTTCTATCTTGGATGACAACTATCATGGGGTCAATGGTAGAGCTCAACAGTTCCATAGCAAACTTAACTAGAGCATCAACCTTGTGTTCAAGGAATCAGAGATCTTGATTAAGGTAAAATTAGGGATGTGCTCTAGTAATGTCATAACCCTCTTTTGATAGGATAAGAGGTTTGACTTGAGAATTTTGTAGGTTCCTAGCACTTGGAAAATTATGATTTATGAATTTCTATAAACTTTGATCTTCTTGAAGATAATTTGGAAGGCTAATTCCAATCCAAGGATCAAGACTTCATATGTTGTCTTATTATTTGTATGCAG